AGTAACATTTTTAAAGAAGTAAATCTTACACAAACGTAAAGCGTATTACTACGGAGTGCTATCTTGAAGTGTAAAACAGTGCAGAAGAAACAGATGCCTTATGCAGTATTTATTAGGTGCCCAGTCCGAGGATGGTATCTCCAGATGGATGGGCTGGATGTTGTTTGGAATTGGAGGCCGCATTCCTCTTATCCTAGATCCACTCAAAGGGTATCTACACTACCAAAGAATATTATTGAGGAAATGAATTCTGATATTGCCATCTAGGCAGATGGCATCACAGCTGTGCTATGCTGCGCAGATACAGATATTTGGTCTTTATACTCAGAAATAAACTTTGTGGAGGGAGATTATGCTGTAGCCTCACCAGGAAAAAGAAAGCAGCCTTGTTCAATGCCGTTTTATCATGGCATTAAGTCAGAATGGGTCAGATAAATACAGAAGTTTCAGATAAAGGGTTTAAGATAGGCTCTTATATTCAAAACACAGGTATGGAACTGGAGGTGGTTTCTTTGAATTCAGAGAAGCAGCTGAGAGTAGTTAAGAGGGACAAGCAAGGAAATGAAAAATTAAAACAGAAAGCAGTCATAATAAAAGGTGGTAAGAGAAAATAAATTAACCTCGGGCAAATCATTAGTGAAAAGCTGCATATTTTATTGTGTATATACTCATGTATTGACTACAGTTAGGGAATAAAAAAAAAAAAACTTTGCATATAATGTCTATTTGGGAGGTGTCATCTTTCTTTTGGGTCAGTATAGTTTGCTACATGATTTGTTGCCAGTTTAAAGAGTAAATTTCGCCTAAGTAGGGGACTTGGAAGTTTTATCAGTGGTTAAAATTACAAGATGGAATGGATTTCAGAGTTCAGTTATAAGGACCTGAATATGGATTTACGTGAGAGTTTTCTTGATTTCAGAGTTCAGTTATAAGGACCTGGATTTACTTGAGAGTTGGAACTGCTGCCTGGTGTGATCTTCGGTTTCTTTATCTCGCTGAACTGTTTTGGCTGCTCTTCCTTCTCTGCCCCTTTCATTTGGCACTGGCTCCGATGCAGCCCCAGCTGCCTGGTGACAACCAGTGCTGGGTTTTGGTCTGACACCAAATCTTCGCTTTGGGGAAGGTGTCATCAAGAGATCAGAAGATTTTGATAAAGAGCCAGAAACTACCAAGTAAATCACTTAGAGCCTTTCTGTTCCATGGGGTGAAGTGTCCCCAGCTTTAGCCGACCTGCTGCTTTTCTAGATGAGGAAACACCAGAGAAGGAAGAGATTGTTGCCTGTTGATGTCCATTCCTTTCTTAATCTGTTGACTTTTTCTTTATGGTCTTGACATTTTTATGTGAAAGATATTTCTTAAAAAACACACCATGTTCATTAAGACATCTCCTTAAAACTCAAGCTTGCTGTTATCAATAGTGTTTGATTTTTTTTTTTCCCAGAAGAATTTACTGCAGGAATATCCAGGATGTGTCCCTGAAAAAGAACAGTGGTTCATGGCATTCCAAGTAGCAAAGCAAAACTTTTCGTGTAACAGTTCATGTACTAGACATGGATACATGCCAGGGCTTAGGGCATACACACAATTTAAATATATAGGGACAATATATGTGACGTGAAGGATGGAGAATAGGAGCGGAATCATTGGGATGATCAGTTAGAGGAGAGGGGGAGCTTTGAGGGATAAATTAGAGGTGAAATCTTCCAGTGTGATCATTTTTACTGCCTCTTTCTGAATGCTTGTTTTTTCATTGCTATCACTGTCTCCCTCATTCATGAATGTCAAATAAGTCGACCAAGAGGTAAAGAAGGAACACAAAGTTCCTTATGTAGTAGACTTTTTTGTTCTATTTATTTTGTAATGGAGGAGTGGAAAAGAGAAAGACTGAATTATATTTCTGTGTAGTAGACACAGGAAGAGGCCATTCTTTCTACTATGTAAACTGTGCAGGTCCAGAGAACTGAAATTAGGATTGGTTGCCAGAGATATTTACTTTAGTATTTTCTGGCTCAGAAGGACTGGGCTTCCAAAAGTGGGCAAATACTTTTAATTAGTTTTATCACAAGTGGGACAAGATTCCTGTATAGGTTTGCTTCACCCTGCACTTCTTGGCTGTGTCACCTCTCCTGATATTACAACCCACTGGGAAGCTCTTGCTTTGGTCAAGTGCTTTTGCTAGTAGCTTTCAACTTCATCTACACTAATTTCATATGACCGTTTGCTGCCTTTAGGAGGCCTGATCTGCATCTGTGTGAGCCGCCTTCTGCTTTATAGGAATGTGTGTTTTATGGTTGTTCTTTATAAGTTCCTCTTGCTTATGGTTGGCTTCAGCGCCCTCTTCTTCAGTTAGGCATCTCTAAGGGCTCTTCAAATACAGGAATGATTTGCTGAATGGCTAATTTTCAGGGTTCTGTATGTCTCGTTTTTATGCATATGTATTTTCAAATTGAAATCATTATTTTTATCAGATTGATCTTAATAACACATGAAGCAAAACTCGTATCTGGCAGTTTCATGTTCCAGTATGAACTTTAAAAATGCAAGTTGTCCATTCTGTCATTTAAATGCCTTGTCATCTCAGTGACAAGAAGTTCACAGGCATTTAATGGACTTAGATATATTTTTAATACATTAAAAGCAGGTAAGATGAATCACAGCCTTTTGTAGCAATGGATGAAGTTTCTATTCTGCTGTATGTTTTATTAGCTTGGAAATTAAACTAAAGCATAAAAATTGTGACAGTGAAGGATGTTGCTTGCTAATGGAAAATTTCAACTTTTGTTGCTACACCAGCCTGCATAATGAGAACATGTTTCCCTTTAAAGAGAGAGTGTTTCCTGTGCAGATTTGTGCTGGGTATATCCGATGTCTAACTCTGGTTTATAGTTAGTTTCACAGGTAAATCACATTGGGTAGTGAAATACTGGAATTGCGTTTTACTTCCAAACTCTAAATTTGTTTAAAATGCAGAATTTATTTTAACTTTGTTTTGTAGACATGGAGGTGATGAAGCCCTTAATTGAAGAACAAAATTCAGATGAGGAGCATGAACTGTCACCAGTTGAGAAGCATTACCAGCAGGACAACGAAGAAGGCATCACGTGTGTATTACTCTTAAGTATCAGCTTGTAAAAATTAATTCCTTCAAGTTTGGTCCTTGTGAGTAGTTTACTGAATCCTTAAGGGAGGTACTTGTAGCCACAGTACAGTTTAGTGGTTTTACTTCAGGATAGGATTGCATAGGATTTTTGCTGCTAAAGAGCAGTCCTTGCTGAATGTGTTCTCTGTTCTGCAGAACCTACTTGTGTGTTCGTCATAGAATATTCCAAGGCACCCATGTGCCAAGTCATAAGGTCATTTAAAATTCAAGTAGTATTTAAGGAGGTTTTTGAATAATTTTATTTTTTAATAAAGAGATGTCTGGAGACTTTGGAAATATCTATGTGTTAAAATTAATTTGAAGATCTTGTGAAGTTTAACTTTTTTATTGATAAAGTTCTTGACTGTAAGAATAGTGATTTGTTTGGAATGTCAATTTTAAAGTAGCATTAATAAACCTTGTAATTTGGTCTCTTTCTGAGGCAGAAAGACAATAAAATTACCAGAGAATCTAGCCTTTCCCAAGCTGGAGGAGAGATCAGACTTGTATATTCCAGCTGAAGGAGCTCACATTTAGAAATTAATAAAAATAGCCTTTGAATGTACTGGACCACCTTAAGAAGATAAAACTCACGAATTATCCCTGTGTGCTAATAAACTAGAAGATTTTTTTTTTTAAACAATGTGAATGTATTTCTGCTGTGACTTCTTATATTTTTATTCTCAGGTTTATACAAACACTAACCCACCTCCTCAAAGGAAACATTGGAACTGGGCTTCTAGGGCTTCCCCTTGCAATAAAGAATGCTGGCATTGTGGTAAGAAATGAATTTATTTTTCATAGGTGGAAAAATGGCCTATAAATTTTGACAGCTACTTGCCTGAGGCCCAGAAACTGCTTCAGTCTGCAGTGACTATGCATTGTGCTTTCCATTATCAAACCATTTTTCTGTGGAAAGCAAAAATTTTGTCTGCTATGGACAGAGTCTCAGACTTCCATGGTGTTTCATGGGAATTGTTGTTCGGGTTTGTTTCATCCTTGCCTACACTTCACTGTATCTGGATTGTGTGTCCTAGGAGCCCCAGGTACCTTGTTGAATCAATCTTGTGATTTTGGGGTGCTCAGCGTAGCACAATTTGGTCTACACCAGGTAGCAAACAATGACTTTCCTAAGACAGTGTAATAGAGAAGCAAGTACTTGTTGTGAAAACCTTGGTCAAACTTATTCTCTAAAACAAATATTTGACTTGAATATAATCTATAACTTGTAACTGTCAAAAATATTGGTCTGGCAACTGTGTTTGTTCATTTAAATTGCATCATGAAACACACTAATATAATGGAAGGAAGCTTTTGAAATGGCAGTGTTGATGACAAAGTGATTCAAGCTACTGGTTAGAACTGTGTAACATATGCAGTCTTTCCTCTTGCCAAATTTTTCTTTGCTAATGTCATAATGACATGTTTACGGGGATGAAGTTTTCTTGTCCTTTTGCAATTTACTGCTTGATCACGTCTGAAAAATCTTTTATCAAACAAGTCAGTTAAAAGTAAGTTGGCAGCAAATCTTCCTCTGAGAAAAAGAGTCAGTTGTAATTTTTTAATTCTTAAAATGTATATATTTGCTAAAATGTAAAATTGCATATAAAGATTTTTGCCCAGCATATTTTCATGAAAGATTCTACTTCCGTGGCTTCAGGTATTTACATATCCCATGTCCTCCTTTTCTACTCTAGATTGGACCCATCAGCCTTGTGTTCATAGGACTTATATCAGTTCATTGTATGCACATCTTGGTACGTTGCAGCCACAATCTGTGTCAGAGGTAAATGTGAAACTGTTCAGTCAATCAATATTTGAATATTACTTTCTTCTTTCCAGTTTTAGTTTTCAGTCTACAGAATGTCTTGATGGTTTCTCCAGATCAGACTCTTGTGCTTCAAAGAAGGAACACTCAAATTCTTATGGTGCAACTATAAATGATAGCTGTACTTTGAGCAACACTATTTGCATACATTGAAAAACATTTTCTTCACTACTCGTACACCAAATTAGGTTGGTTTAACTTGTCTTGTTTGGTATCTTGCTCCCGGTCTTAACTGGGAAGTATCCAGGTCTTTCTCACTGCAGTTTTAATCACGTAGTGTCTATAACTACCTAAATAGAGAGTCCTGAGTTCACTCCATGAGTGTCTGCATCTTTTTAAATTATTTTTTGCTTGCTTATTTTTGTGCTTCAGGGTACTCCTTCCAATTTCCTTTTCAAAACCACCAGATAGAAAATTATTTTATGTTGCTAATGTTTGGAATGAATAATTTTTATAGTCTATATGGAAACAATGTCTGTGATCTCCTGGAAATCATTGAATTTCTGCATAGGCTTTCTACTCCGTAGTCCATCTTTGTGAATGTGTTTTTGACAATGCTATTAAGTGAGATAAGAATTGTTTAGCTGTGGCAGCTGTTTAAATTAGAAAATGGCATAGTGAGTACAAAATATTTTTTGTAGTACTCTTCCATTTCTATATACTTATAGCTTCTTCATAGTTTCTGTATTTTCGTAGCTTTTCAAAGTACTCAAATTATAAATAGATGGTTTAGAAGTACTTTACAACAATTAAGGGGAAACTGTGAATTATTGCTAATGTTTTGCATGTTAATGTGTGAGCTCTGACTCTTTGGACTGTAAAAACTTGACTCTTCATAATTGGGGTGCTGATAAAATGTGCTAAATGATGCTAGTGGGGAGATGGGTGTTAGACACTCCTGCAAGTGAGACACACAGTACGAGAGGGTGGAATTGTCTTGTGGAGTCTTCCAGTTAATAGTGATTTTCATGAACCATTTTTATCTTGCTGCCAGGTGTTAAGGAGCAGGCTGCGGTATTTTAAAAGTACAATAAAGTTTATTTGATCTGAATAGAAATGAAAAACTATTCTTGTCCCTGTAGCTGGGAAAAGTTTCAGCTCAGTTTAATGGTGTATTTTTACTATGAAGTGATTGTGTAATTCAGAATCCACCCTTCTTCCTCTCTAATTTTGAATAACCTTTGAAGATGTGTGCAAAACCAAGAGCACTGAAACAGTTAGGAATAACTAACTGCTCTTCCAGCAAAATCTGTAGTTCTGTTGAAGTTCTCTGTGACTTTTAGATATGAGATTGGGTTTTTAATCTGGAGTTACAAGAACCTGATTCTACACAACCGAGTAGATTATCAAGAAACTTATTTTTTTAAAAAAAACTGGTGTTGTGCTGCTGAGGTAGTGGGAAACTTATGGGGTGCTGAATGGAGCCACGTGGTGGGAATGAGCCTCAGCTCTTGCAGGATGGTATCACAGATGATTTCTTGTTATAATCCTATAATCCTATGAAGATTATACAGCATTTTCAAGGTAGGGTTAGTGTCTGTGATAATTTCTAGTTAACTCTATTCTTTCTACTCTCTTTCAGGTTGAAAAAATACTCACTAGGCTACAGTGATACAGTTAGTTATGCCATGGAAGTGGGGCCTCTGACTGCCCTTCAGAAAAGAGCTTCCTGGGGAAGGTAAGCTTGCATTAGAATTTAATTTAGTAATTTAATTTTTAAAATTAATGGCTACACTTGGAATGGTTAGGACATTTTCTTTCTACTAAAATATTGTTTGCTCTCAGAACTTGTTCTCTGCACTTGATATCTCTTTATGCAGTGCTAGTTCCTGGTTTCTGCAGGCAACTAGTAACATGGGAGGACTGGGGAGCATGTCTCTCTGCAAGGTGTTTCTGTAGGACCTGTGGAGAAATGAATTCTGTTTTGTATTAAAGGAAGAAATCTGTTATAGCCAGAAGTGCACTTGGTATTGTATACTGCATTGAAGTGGTTTAAATGTTTCAATTCTCTTTCATTTCTCTTTATCAGACTTCAGTCTTTACACAGGTTGACACTGCAAACGTAAAAGATTTCAATATGTTTATTCTGAAGGGAAACAAAGCTTTCTTTGGTTCTTATATAAATATGAATTGCAGATGATGGAGTAATATTTATTGTATTTTGCAATAATGACATGCAGTTGTTAATAGCTTGTTGTCTCTTCTAAATGCATTCTTCCTTTTCAAAAAGACCCTAATTGTGTCTTTTCCATCTGTTGCTGTGTGACAGTTTACAGAGTTTAAAATGGTTATGGGATGACTACACAGTAATGAAACACAAAGCCTTAGGTTTGTTTTTCAAAGTTAATATCAATTTTAAAGTGTTTTTCTCTCTTCCCTGGCTTGTGGAAGTGGTGTTTCTGTCCTGTTACTTGCAGGGATGCAGCATCCTCTGTCATGTGTTTTGTCTATTTTTAGGTTTCCAAAAAAAAAAAAAAAAAACAAAAACTCATTTTTAAGATCTTTTGGGCTTACTTCATATGAGTGGAGTAGGACTCAGCTAGAGGGAAAATTGGTTTCTAATGAAATAGTATGGAAATACTGTAATGCACCGGAGAATTAGAAGCTCAAATGGCAGTTCTACTCCCAGAGACACTCTGTTGCAGAAAATCTGCTCTCTGAGGCAATCTTCTGTTCCTTGTTTAACAAAACAGTTTTATTACAGTCTGTCTTGAGGCTGCTAGCGTGGATGATCTTTCCCCAAAACAATATGAACCATAGTTTACAATTTTTTTCAGTGAGATAAAATGTCTGGAAATGTATCCAGATACATTCATAGGGAACCACTTAGGAAGCTGTTGTCTTGCATTGCTGGCCCTTCAGTAACTTAGTCTGCATGAGGCATTTCATCTTCTCTGGTCTCCATGGAAAATGGCTGTGTTAAAGTGCTAAAGGACCTAAAGGACTGCGGCATAAGTTATATGTGCGCTGAATACATATGTCTATTTTTTATGTTTGTATTGCATTGCTAACCCAAAGCCTTTCAATTACATTTTGTGCAGCTTTAAAATATGTGACTGCCTTATGCATTTCTGAGAAACTTTGATACACACTTAGTTTTACCTTAAAAAAATTACCTTGTTTTGCCAGAGGAGGAACCTGCATTGCAGTGTTTCTGAGATTAATGTGGCATTTGAATCTAGCATTTCTCTTATTGTTAAAAGGAGTAGTAGTTCATATCATGTGGAAACTGGTTAATTGTTTTGATCATAAGTATAACATATGTTTTTTTTTTTCCCTCAGGTATATTGTTGACTTTTTCCTAGTAATAACACAGCTGGGATTTTGTAGTGTTTATGTTGTGTTCTTGGCAGAAAATGTGAAACAAGTGAGTAAAGATATAAAGATACTGCATGAAACAATTATGATTTGAGTGTCTTTTTCCTCCAAACTTTATTTCCTTTCTTTATGAAGTTCAAAAGAACTACTCATAAAAAGTGAAGCTGGGAGATGCACAGAATAGGTTCTGCCATGGTTTCCACAAAAGAGCTTTTGGAAAAAAGGAGCAATGTGCGAAGTGAACTGAGTCCAGATCTTGTGTAAGTCTTTGTGACTTCCTTGCCCTGTGATCTGTGATTTTAATGATTTAAAAACTCATTTTAAAAAGAGCATGTCATTATCAATTCATGATTGGCTTGTGATCCACTGTGATCTCTTGATTTTTCCCTGCAGAATTGTTCCAGGCAATTCTTTTAGTTCTTTTATTTATGCAGATAATTTCTATTTACCTACGGAACCCTTTATTTGTCCTTGCTGAATTGATTTTGGCCAGTTCTCAAAGCTGCATTTTAATCCTCTTCTACATTGTTTCACTTTCCAACTGCAAATGGAATAAATGTTTAAAACCTGCTTATTACATCACAGATTTCATTAATTAAAATATAAAGCAGCACTACTAACAGCAAAGCATTTCATACCTTTTTAATGATAAATACTATTAAATATAGTAAGTAGTGTTAAATGTATGCAGACAAACAGATTTTAGTAGGTTATACTTCTTTAAAATGTATTGAATAGAAAAATACTGCAATTCATCACTTTTGCAAGTTAATATATTTAGTATTAGTGAAGTGGGCCAGGAGTAAGGTAATGCTAGGCAGATCACTGAGCGTTTATTGTCCATATGGACTGTCACTCCACCCAGTGGGTGTCTTTGCATAGTTTAGTTTATTTTAATGAGGAGGAAGAGTGTCCCCATAGACATTTGCATATAACAGATATTATGTTTTTTTTTCTCCCCATGTAGACAAGTATTTATATTTAGAAAGTACTCCAAAGTCTCCAGAAGTAGATGCTGTCAAGATGTTAAGAATTTGTGTGTAAATATATGAATAAACATATTAAAAATATAAATACACATTTATAGGGAGAATTTGGATATTCTGTAATCTGTGTCCCTGGGAAAAAAAGATGAAAACAAACAAAAAGCTTTAAACACAGTCTCACTGTCACTGTATGTCACAGTTTATTTCAATACCTAAAAATCCTGCTTTACAGCTGTCATTTCTTTTACTGGACTTCTGAGGTGGCAGTTTTTGTCGCATGCATCGTAATGTGGTAAGGTAATTCAAACCTTCCTATCTAGTAGGTATTTGGCCAACCAAATTTGATCTTAAAAAAAAAAAAAACACAAGACTGAGCACTTCTGGGTTTTGAAGAAATGATGAAATATTTTCCTGTGCAAGGCTTGTAGCTGCAGAGACTAGGCTATGCACCTGGTGAAGGAATTTGTTATCAGCAAGTCAGAAGTTTCACTCAGAAGCGTATTTAGATTCAAATGTGTCTCTGTGCTTTTTCTCTTGGAGGGAGAAGGTTGGGTCCTCTTCCCAGCAGTTTTGTTACATAAATCTACCCTTTAGAGGGCACCAAAGAATAAAATTTCGTGAAGCTTAAAATCTCTGCTGACCTGGGTAAGGATGAGCCAGAGGAAGAGAGGGAACAGGGAACTGGAAAACTAAGTCCTGAAATGTTTGATGTCCTTTTCTTCCTCACAGATGTCCAGTGTAGCTTCTGGTTGTAGCTCTCTTCTGATCTGTAGAAATCTAACAGCGTTGATTGCATTATATAGGAGTTTCCTGAGTACTTGTGCTAAGGCGTAAAAGAATCATAGAATCATAGAATCATAGAATGCTTAGGGTTGGAAGGGACCTCTAGAGGTCATCTAGTCCAAACCCCCTGCATACGCAGGGTCACCTAGAGCACGTGGCACAGGACTGCGTCCAAGCGGGTTTGGAAGATCTCCGGAGAAGGAGACTCCACAACCTCTCTGGGCAGCCTGTTCCAGTGCTCTGTCACCCTCACTGTTAAAAAATTTTTCCTTAAGTTCCTGTGGAACTTTTGGTGCTTCAGTTTGTGGCCAGTTCTGACGGTGGCCACCACTGAAAAGAGGCCAGCACCATCCTCCTCACTGCCTCCCTTGAGGTACTTACAGACACTGATCAGATCCCCTCTCAGCCTTCTCTTCTCCAGGCTGAACAGGCCCAGCTCCCTCAGCCTCTCCTCATAGGGCAGATGTTCCAGGCCCCTGATCATCCTTGTGGCCCTGCGCTGGACCACAGCGCAGAGAGAGAGAAAAAAAAAAAGAAACTCAGGTTGCTGGAGCAAGCCCAGGGGGACCAGATTTGGAGAAGAACGGTGAATTTGCAACAGAGTTGGAGCCTGATGACAGCAAAACTGGCTAGGAAAAGCCTGGAATGTAAGATCTTAAGTCTTGGTCTTCCTCTGCTGTTCATGAATATCTGCAGAGTTCTCTGGAAAAAGCCCGTTTCCCATTTCAGCAACTTCTTCCTGAGTTTTGTGCATACATGTGAAATGTCTCTCTCTTAAGAGAAAACTGCTACTCAGATTGATGTGAGTAGCAGCTGGCTTATATTGGGGCATCTAAAGGAGGTTTTAGAAACTGGTCTGTATCCTGCCTGCTGTTAGCAATATATATTTATTTTTCAAATACTTAATAGGGTTAAAGATGTTTATATAAATTGAAGGTATGATAAATAGTTAATGTGGATATGGCTTTCAAAGCAACCGAAGGGAGTTACGTGCTCAAATTGCATTGTAATTCTCAGAAAATCCTCTTATGTGTCCTTGTGTGTAGGACATCTCTGGCTACCTGTGAGTACACGCAGTTAGGTAAACATGCAAGCCTATTGTTAAAGAGCTTGCTCTGTGTGTTTATTTTAAGTACTGTTGGAAAACATAAGAAACTTTCCTATAGGGAATCTTGCTTCATTCACTTGGCCTTAGGGAAGTAATTTGGTTAAGCGTTTGATATAAAGATTGGCCAAGCAAAGTTATTGTAGCTCTGAATTTCCGTGTAATCCAGTTCTTCATATATCTAACTCTATTTAGTAGCTTTCCAAAAACTTTATCTTAATGAAAACTAAGCAGTTGTTAAAGGTCTTCTAACTCACACGCTTCAGATTCTTGGGAGATGGCAACCTTCAGTGTTCTAGTAGTGATAAGTGCTCTCTACTTTTCATTTAGAGGGACATTTCTAGGAAACATGTGGCTGCTATGTATTTTTTTTCATTATGAAAAATTCTTTCAAGTCTTTCTTGTTATAAAGTTTTTTTAAATAAATTTGCTCCTCCTGAGTTTGTGGATTGTCTGAAATGAGTGAAGGTGAGTTGTGGAATTTTTATTAGAGTTTCTAAAGCTGAGTTTGATAGGATTGCCAATTTAAATGACACAATTTCCATACTCTTGATTTTACACTCTCAACTAACCCCTTCTAACTCATTAAAAGTTTCACATTCCCAAAGATTCTTTGATTGCCAACCATATCTTCAGCTTGTTCTCTTATCTCTTCTTCCTCAAGCTAACAAATTAATAACCCTGAGTAGCTCTAATAGTTACTTGAGATATCTAATACACATTCGCATGTGTCCTATTAATTATTTGCAGTTAGCAATTTAAATTGATTTAATGGATGCAGGTCTGTGTAAACTCTTAGAGCTCTTGCCTTTTTAAGTGGAGACAAAGTTGATTAAGAAAATAGTGAAGTTAAATAATTTGAATTAAAGACAACGGGGTTGCTGGGCACTGAAATTAAACAATGGCAGTCATCTTACCCCTTAGTCTTCTTAAAAACATTTGAACTTTTAATATTTATGCCTAAAATGATCTCATCTAGATTTATTTTACCTAACTTGCTGCATAAAAGTCATCAAATCTAAAATGCTCACGTGCCTTTCTGTTCAGGCAATTGTGGGCTAAAGTCTGCTAGAGCTCAGTTCCATCACTGTCATGAGGGTGCGTCACCTGCTGCAGACTCCTGTCTTCCTTTCTGCATGGAAAGTGCAGTGAACCTAAAATACCCAACTTTATCTGGAAGGACAGTGATGAAACTCTATACAAAAATTCGGTGCTATCAATATTTTTTTATTTTAAAAATAAACATTTTCCAACAGGTCTGTGAAGGATTTTTTGAAAACAGGACTGTTTCCATAAATGCCAGCACCAGCAGCAATTCTTCTGAGAAGAGGAGTACTGATTTACGACTCTACATGCTGTGTTTTCTGCCATTTATAATCCTCTTGGTCTTTATTCGTGATCTTAAGAACCTCTCTGTGCTTTCGTTGCTTGCCAATCTGTCGATGGCTGTCAGCCTGGTGATCATTTACCAGTATATTGTTAGAGTAAGTATAAAATGTTTGTTATTCAAATGTTCAATATGACATCTCTTGTTTGGTGCTTGTCGTTGCATCTCTATTTATATTGATTATATTGCATCTTCACTTGCACTTTTATTCTCTGGTACTTCAGATAATAAAAATATAGATTTTAGGGACTCTGAATTCTTCATTGGAAAAAAACCCATGAATTTTCATAAGTCACATCTGAAATTTACACTATAATGTAGTTTATAATCTCTGGCTAGTCATTTTCTTGCAGTAGAAGAGCAGTTTCAATAATATTTATCTCTAGTGTTTCTCTAATACAATAAGAAAATTCTAATGCTTATACTTTAAGAATATAACATTGCAGACCTTCATCTCAGGAGTTGAATAGTCACTGCATTTTCTGGGTTGCTGTTTTTCTGATATTTGGAGGCATTTCATAATGAAACAAATTGAATTGGCAGTTAAAGAAAAAATATGTTTAGAAACCTCTATGTTTTTCTTTCATATAATTTTGTGAAAAAGATATAATTGGTAAATACAGTTGCAAATAGTATACCTGGATCATTGGAGTACTACTGTCCTAGAAAGCTTTCATTGTAGTGTTAAGAAAGTGGTAGGAAGAGGGGAATGGTGGAGGAAGGCAGAAAAATAAGCTTTGTTAAAAGTATCTGTTGGGACTAGAGGTAGGGAGAAATAAATGCACAGAGTGAGGGAAGATTGAGAGAAAAAAAATTATATTTAAAAAATATATATTTTATTTTTACTCTCCCTTACAGTTTTGAAGCATATCTGTGAAGCATGAAGGCGCTCTCTGAATAGTCCTGAGTTTGCAGACTTGAAACATTAAGCTTGAGCTGTGAGCTGTGAACGTATACTGATGTTGTCTTCATAAAGAGGAATGTTCCTATCAAAATTGCTAATATTCTTTACAGAGGACTATTTTGCTTTGTTCTCTCCAGGATATAGCAGATCCTCGGAAATTGCCTCGCATGGTTGGCTGGAAGAAATACCCACTGTTTTTTGGGACTGCTGTATTTGCTTTTGAAGGAATTGGGGTGGTAAGTGCTTAATTACTAACTGTCAAAATACCAGAATGACTGCCAAATGATGGAGTGTAGGCAATTATTATTCCTGTTTTTTTACATTTGTTTTTCTTTGTTAAAGCAGTAATCTGGCAGTCATATGCAATGGGTTAATTTACCTTATGAAATAAGGCAGAAGTTGAGGGCAGAGTATCTCTATCAAAGGGGAGTTTGGTGAGTACCGACAGTTAAAGCCTTGCCAAATTACATGAATGCCTAGTTTATCCAGATAGATTAAGACGATTGAGTAAAAATAACCAACAGTACTATAATCATAATGATTCAACAGTTCAAGTTGAAGTGATCAGTGCAGAAGCAACAAGAAAAAGGATGTATTCTGCTTCCTTCTTATTTTCCTTTGGGGCCACAGAGGACAAAAGATATGTTTCAAAAACACATTTTTCTTGCCTGAAACTTGTCTGTAGTCATGACTTAATAGAGATGGCAGTGATAATAAAGAAGCTAGGAATTTCAGGCTCTTGTTTTGATTCATGGACTTCTGAGAATGAAATTCTGTTCCCTGTTATTTCCTGAATGTTTTAAATTAGACAGATTTATCACTCCAAAAGTTTACTTTTTAAAACTGAGTCTCTTTTAGTCTCTCATAGTCACATCCTATGGCTTATAAGGGCTTCCCAGCTGGCCCTTGCATCTCACAAAAAGTTCGCAAGTTCATTAGCACTTTAGTTCAACATTGCATATTTAAAAAATAGCTAAAGAAGTGTACATGCATTTCTGTCTGGGAAACCCAAGGAAGAGGTCTGTGAGCCTCAGAAAAATGTAGCAGGTTTAGCACTTGGTGTCGGTAGTTTATTGAATCTTTGAGAATTATGGTGATTACTTTCTGGTAATTTAGATCCCATATCAGACAGACCGAAGTAGGTTGTAATAACACCACCGTGTAAACCTTTAAAAAGCTGCTCAAAGAGTTGTGCTTGTTTGGATCTCTGAGGAACACTGAACTTTTTTTCCTTATTAGCCAAGAACATATAATATAAAATATATAATAACATTTTGATTGTATCAGGCAATATTTTTATCTTTTTAAAATACTACTAAATGTTAGCATTGTTTAATTATTGAATATATTTCTGCATAGGCTGCCTCAGTTTCTTGCTCGATAGTAATTTATTTTCCAATCACATGAAAAGTGTGTGTTAGATCTTCCACTTCATTTTACAAACTGGTTTACAAACTATTTGAATGTTTATGCTCATTATGGTTTGATACACTATGTGTATGCATATACGGATATACATTACACAAGACCATTAAAATAATTTACCTGCATTTGCAAAATAAAAATACTATAGAACTGAGAACTTTGAGCTTGATGCTTGTCTCCCCTTTTTTGTAGAATGATATTAGTATGTTTCTAAGGTGTAGTTGCGTGCATCATAGGGAAGATTAGAAGAAAAAATAATTTTATGGATTGAATAGCATTAGAGTTGTTTAGTCACGAAATAAAAAAAAAGGTGAAAAAAGGCAAGATAAACATTTTTGCTTCACATAGGTGATATTTTATGCATTTATAATTAATTTAATAATTAGATGTTATGGCTTACTGAGTTACCATCATAGATTGAACTGTGGTGACCTTTGCAAATATAAAATGAAACATATTAGTTTAAACACTGTTCCTTGTGATATAAATTAATGCTTTACATTTCATATTTAGAGTGGTTTAAGAATAGTTGCATTGGCAGTTGCAGTAGCTTAGCTGATGTGTAAGTTACCTGTTATCCTGTGATAATTTTTTTTCCTTACCATTATAGCCATAGACGGCCTAAGTTGTTAAAAAAAAAAAAAAAATCTGTTTCTGTTCCTTAGCCTGTTCTATCTGACTACAGACAATAAAAATAGATTTCCATAAGAAATCTTGATTGTAGACTTTATTCTGTTATGTCTTGTAAATAGCATTTATTTCCATGAAACTCTCTGAACACTGCAATATAAATTTTAAAGCCTTAATTTTATAATAAGAGTTCATTGTTTGATTCATCTTATGCAGTAAATTAGCTTCAAACAGTTATGAGTATGATTCCATACATTCATTATGCTAATGCACATTTTACCCTTCTGAGAGCTAATTAGTTATTGAATATTACGGATGGAGAGAGAAAAGGAATTTTTGAATTTTTGGAGCTAGTTAAACAGTCTGAAGTAACAACCCAAAAAGAGAGGAAAAGTGGTTTCTCCAACATTGTTCTGAACAAAATGGACTTTCGCTATAAGACTATACATCAATCAACTTTTTGAGTGTGGAAATAAATAATCCATAAAGCACAGTATGAAATAGCACACCTTGGCCACAGCAGTTAGGAGAATTTATTTTCAATTTGATTTTGCATTTCATTATCAGGAGAGTAGCTAATGCAGAAAGAAAACATGAAATGGAAGTGCCTTATGCTCTGTAGAGTGTGCAATAGCTGCTTGTGTTTCTTTTATTTTTTGAGCCAGATATTATAATGCAAAGGAAATTCTTCAGCACTTCATTATTTTTGCCCCATTGTTCCAAAAAGGGTTTTATATTGATTTGTTTTTTCCTTCAGTGTAGCACTTGTCATCATTTAAAATAAGACCATAGTTCTTCAGTAATTCTATTAAGTAAAGTGAAACTAATGAAACAGAGGATTCTAAAATGCTTTTCAGAGCAGGGAACGTGACTGAGGGTGGTACAGTGATTCAGCAGATTCCTAGTGTGATTTTTCTTCTAGATCTCTGGCTGAAATCAGTGCATCTTTTAGGTGTTGATCATGAGAACAAGTCTAATCTTTAGGTTTTAATTTTTCAGTTCAGATCTCTCATAGTTTAGGACTGGTTGGACATCCCTGTGTAATAAGGAAATCAGCAGTGGGGAAGTAAGTTTTACTGTTCTCAAGTAAGTTTGGCCGCAGTCAATCCCTTGAGAAATGGACTTGAAGAACCTCAGTTTTACAGACTTGGCTTTGAAATAATTTGAAGGGGAAAGGTTAGCTTGTTAATGTAAGAACTACAAAATCTCCAGTAAACTATGGCAATGGCTAGACTCCAAACCTGTATGTAATACCAGGAGGTAATTAAATGTTTCATCAGCCTGTGTTATACAACAGTTGTGAGACCCATTGGGAGTTAAGGTTGTTAGAGAAGTTCTCACTGCACCTAGAAAGGCTTCGCTGTGAATTTGTAGTTTATATGAACCCATTTCCTGCCTATTCGCTTTCTGCCTATGAGATGAGAAGCGTGCGTAGCGCTGTGAACTCAAATATTTGAGTAGTTTCATGAGTTTTGAATTGATGGCTTTTTTTTTTTTAACAGAATCCCAGTTTGAATGGCAGGTTTTGGAATGAACCCGTGTTTTCGTATTAGTAAGGTGAACTGAACTGCTCCTATTTGTCTGCAGGATCAAACTAAACTCTTGCTTGATTGCAGACAGGAACAATTTTGTTGTGTTACTGAAACTCCCTGCAAGTTATTCGCTTGTTACCACAACAACAGCAGAAGGAGCTTGGGTGCGTGAAAGGGCTGCCTGAACGTCCGCGTCCGCTGAGCTCTGAGTGACGCTTGTCGCAGCAGTAAGAAGGGCTGCTCTCTATTGCTTATCCTGTTTGCTTGCTCCATGTCTGAGTCATCTAGAGAAACGGGGTCACTACTGACTGGCACCAGGTACCTGCCGCAACCTCAGCAGTCAGTTGGTGATGATCTCTGTGCGGTGACAAGGTGGTGAGGGGTACACAGAGGTCCCTTAGGGTGCTGCATTGGCACACGCGGCCTGAGAGCTCTGCGCTGTGGTGATCTGGTGGCTGCCATTCGTGATAACGAGAATCAGCTTGGGATTTCAACACCTGGAAGCTAAGACTTCGAGGCTGTTGGGATGTTCTCATGAAAATCATGCTGACCAGTGGTGTGCATAGTGTCAGGGGAATGTTAGGGGCAACAGGAATTGCATACCGAAGCGGATGCAGCATGCTGTTTTGGTGATTCAGTTTTGCTTTAACCTTTAAAGCGCAGATTTCAATTGAGGCAGAAGTAAAATGTTGTTTATGAGCTGCAGAAGCTGCAGGCTCAGGCCTCAGTGACACTTTTTAGGTACAGGGCATTGCTGGGCATGGGCAGGTGCCTGCCAGGCCCTTCTGCGCCTGAGCTTCACCACACGGAGTGAAGGCAGAGCCTGAGAGAGGCTCCCTGGCAGATCACGGCCTCGTGTTCAAGCTGCACAGCTGAGCACTGTCCTTACATTGCCTTTGAATACGGGAGTTGCTGGTGGCGAATGTGGTCTTTTCTAAGAACCAGGTTCAAAACCCTCTTTTTTTTACCGCAAAGGCGAGCGGGCCTGTTTTTGTTATGAATGTGAGATTCATGAGAATGAATTAAAACGTAGCTTCAGACTGTGCTGTTGAGCGAGTCTGAAATACAGTTAAAACCTTTGGACATGCTTTTCAGGAGAGTGTAAAACCAGAGCCTCCAGGCTTGAATATATATGTATCATTATAGTGTGCAGGTAATAGCTTTCAATAATGTAATGCCTATACAATAGCGGTTACAGTTGGTGTTTTCTGGAGAAATTTCTGTTGGCTTTACCATTTGAGATGTAAAAAACATGCAAATATGGAAGTAATAATTTAAGATGGAAGGGAAGCAGGATAAAATAGTTTCATAAAGTTTAGACAAGGTCATTTTTCTTCGCTGTCGTATATAAATATATTCAGTTAAGTAAAACCATTCAGTCTTTTTATTCCTTTTTTTTTTTCTTTTTTCTTCTTGTTGAGTGTTAAACTGATTAATCTAGCAAAAAGACGCTTTCCAACATTAATTTCTGATCTGGAAAATAAGTATTCTGACTTAGTCTGCTTCCTTAAGATGCCTTTTAAAACTTCTTTTTAACTTAGATATCGCAGTTTTGCAGTTGAAGATAGGATGGTGTTTGTATGCAAAAAAAAAAAAAAGAGTAAATATATAATTCCTAGATTTAAAAGGAAAAGAACTAAGTGGATTAT